ATCCATCTATCCATCTATCCATCTATCCATCTATCCATCCATCCATCCATCCATCTATCCATCCATCCATCCATCCATCCATCCATCCATCCATCCATCCATCATTTTTACCTGCTAGTATTACTATTCAGTTTGCATGCATTCATGTTTTATTTTTATATTTTTTTCAGTCCAACAGGCTCTTGCTGGTCTTGATGCCCATAAGTTGGCTTATCACAATCGATGTCGGCATTTCAATATTGAACGATAATTTCCCACATTGCAACAATGTCTATTATTGTTCAGCCCCAGTTTTAAGGTTTTATTTTGTTTTTCAGAGCTGCAATGAAAAGTTAGCTGTTTAAAAAAAAATCCCTTTCATAAGCCACAGTCTTTTGCAGATATTGCTTTAAGCATACGCGTCTGAAGACGAGCGCATGAGTTTGCTCATATGGGACAAAATGAAACTGTAAGACAAGTAATTAAAAAGTGGAGCTTTATCATCCTGTGGAAATGCTCTGCTTCTTCTGCCAGTGGAGGTACTAACTGTATCAGCAGAGAAATCAAATCAGAACACTGCCATGTTGTTTCAGAGCATAATTTGTTATCCATTGTCAGAAAATTTGGGTAGAAGCATTGGTCTTGGGTTTTTGAGCAGAACAATGACCCGAAGCACACATCCTGCAGAAGAAAAGAACATTTGAAAAGGGCAGCAACACATCCTGATGTAAATTCTGTTGGAAACTCTTGAAAAGAAAAGTTCCATTGTGAAAAGACGCCTTGCAAGAATGCTACAAAACATCTTTAGAGATTTTTGACTGTTGGCTGCTTTCCCTTCAGTCAACTGAGATGTGTTGCATAAATCATACGTTTTTCAGATAATATCGTATCTAGATGGTGAACTTTTGTGGGAAATGTATCAAGTTGAACAGAAAATACTTTAAATAAGCTTTAAAACTTCCTGTTTTCTAATCCCTCCCAGTGATGCACTGAATAAATGTCAACTGGTTCAAGAAATTCTTTATTTCTGCGCATATAGATTACATTTATGGATGCAAATAGCAATTTATAGAAGTTTTAATTCATAATTTTTGTGTTTCTGCTTTGTGTTTGGACAGAATGAGTTATAATTGAACTTGCTGGAGATTTCTTGTCCATTTTCTCTTTCCTTTGACACCAGTGGGTAGATGTGCCCACAGCCATGACCAGCGGTAAAAGTGAAACATATTACTTTTCACTAAATTAGCATTAGGACAATTCCATCAATTGCAGTGTGCTGATAAATGCTGAGGTTTCTTGCACTTTCTCTGGGGTTGCCTGGCAACAAATGTGTTTTTTCTCAGCAGGGTCAGTGACATAACCAGAAATATATTTCAGAGAACAAAGTTGAGTACTTCTGATTTGTGTTATATATCATAGTTAGATGTAGCTAAATTGTGGATGGGTCAGAAACCCTTGTTTTGGAAACTTTATATCAACCGTTTTGTTTTTTTTTAAGACATATTTTTATCCTACTACAGAACAAATGTGTGAATACATTCAACTATAGTACTTAAGTAAAGCCTCATTGTTCTCGGTTTGTTATCGTCTCACTAGCTAAGATTTAACTCAAAATATTTACTTTTTTTACATTTGAAATGAAATGACAGCCTCGTAACATAACTGAATAAACTGTTTGTTTATGCAGTGCTGACTTTTTAAATGTAAGACATAAAACATCACCTTAAATCTATAAGAAACAACTTCCTCTAAAAGTTGAAAGAAGCTAAATACTAGCAAAAATGCCTAAATTAGCTAAATGCTAGGTAAAAGCTAAAGATGGCTAAAAGCTTGCTCAAATTTAAATGAAGCAAAAGTCTTGCCAAAATCTTAATTTTTGTAAATAGCTTCCTAAAAGTAATAACTTGCAAGCTTTTCACACAATGAAACCAGCACTCCCTAAAATCACTGTAATGCCACTTTCATTGGAGATTTGACACTTTATCCATGCTGCTGATTATCCATACTGTTGATTATTCATGCTGCTGCTTATCCATGCTCCTGATTATCCATGCTGCTGATTTCTTACCCATAAGTAGGCTCCCTTTCTCTTTTCTCTTTAAAATCTGTTTTAACTGTCCAAAATCGTGTTTTTGGATTGTTAAAAGCAGCTAAGCTGAGAAGCTAAGCTATGAGCTAAGCTAACAGGCCGGCTTTGGGCAAAAACCTCCGTCTTGTCGAAGCTCCAAAATTCACTGTTGAAACCTGTGCCTTCGTGTAAAAAGTTGTTTTTCTCTGCAAAAAGTAGCTGAGAACTTGTTTACTGATTTTTTTTTTTATTCAAAGCTTTTTGTGACAAATGCTATGCTAAAGAGCTCAAACCACACCGAGCGTCCGCCATTTTGAGAACCAAAAAAAAGGAAGAAGAGATGGCCCATGTCACGTCATGGGGCCTCCCTCCCATTTTTATTAAAGAGACACGCTGCTCGCTCCCTCACTATCCATCCTTCAGTTCAAACAGTCTTGTACTGCCATCCGGTGGTCAAAAGAAGGTACTAAACTTAACAAATTAACCAACATTTCTTTTTAAATTTGACAATAATTACAAATTATTGTCAAATTTCAAACAATATTATCGTTTATCGCAATAATTTCTGAGACAATTAATCGCCCAGCAAAATTTGTTATCGTGACAGGCCTACCCATAAGCTGCTGTATTCATACCCATCTGCTCACAACAGACTCATGTTCAGGCTGCTGTTTAATACAATTATATTATTAATGTTTAGCGTATAGATCCTTGTATACTGTTTCTTCTTTTTTTATATCTAATTTATATTATTGCTATTTTTGGGTGTAATTGGGACCTTGAGTACACAATTTTTTCCACTTCATGTATCACATGTGATTCGAATGACAATAAAGAACCTTGAACCTTAAATGAATGCAAATCATCCACTGCCTTGATGTTAAAATGCTACTCAAGGATCTTACACAATCTGTTAGTCCTTAAAAAATACATATTTATATATATATCAATTGTGGAATGTACAGCCAAAGATATTTTAGGAGAATTTCATTCATAACCATCCATTAGATCATGAGATATTTTGCTAACAGATAAACAAAATTACATTCACACAGACAGATATGTCAAATACAATATATTGTGTGCAATCAAAGACAAACGGGTAGATCAGAATTGCTTCCATCACTGTATTGGATAACCAGCCAGGTGAATGACAGATAGACGGATATTATTGATCCCACAAGGATTTCTTTCTGTCACCCACAGAAGTGGTTCATATAAACAAGGACTGTAGAGTTTTTGACAAGAATTAGGTCAGATTTCATCAGCATGTGTCTCAGGTTTGGAGGTCGTCTCTAAATTCAATCTGAAGAAGTGGATCAGAGCTCAGGATGTGCTGTTTGAGTGTTTTAGGTAACAATGGGACTTTTTATTCCTGTGTTTTTTTCGTATTTTCTTTATTTTCTTTATATGGCATGACTTTTTTTACTTGAATAGAAATAAATGCGTCTCGGGATGCTTTTATCCCATTTTGATGATACTGTTTCCCTTGAATCTAAATTTTAGTTTATCAGCTTGTCTTTCATTGTCACTTGTAGAATTCCAATTCTTATGCTTTTCAGTTTCTTTGAATTTTAAACAATGTTTATCTTTATGTGGAGCTCTTGTGGAAATTATGCTGTCTTCTGTTCAACCTTTTGACCTCCCTGCCGAAAATCCGAGTTAAATCAAATCCTTGCCAATTACAGAATAATTTTGGCTGCATACGGTATCTGTGCTGGATTTTTTTTTTCCTTTTTTGCCAGGGTTTATGTTTCCTTCCCTGTCCTTCTACAAATCCACCAGTCCATCCTCCCATCCGTCTATCCATCCATCCACCCATCCACCCATCCATGATCTTCCAATTGTTCTGAAGTCGGGTCTCGGGGGCAGCAGCTTGAGCAGGGAGGCCCAGACATCTCTTTCCACAGCCACAGCTTCAGCTCTTCTGGGAGGATTCAGGCGTTCCCAGGCCAACTGAGAGACGTAGTTTCTCCAGCATGTCCTGGGACTTTCCCAGGGTCTTCTCCCTGTCGAACATGTCTGAAGTACTTCCCTAGGGAGGCACCCAGGAAGACTCCTTACCAGATGCCCAAACCACCTCAACTAGCTCCTTTTGATGTGGAAGAGCAGCGGTTCTACTCCGAGTCTTTCCCGGATGACTCAACTTATCACCCTGTCTCTAAGGGAGAGTCCAGCTACCCTGCTGAGGAAACTCATTTCAACCTCCTGTATCTGCAATCTCATTCTTTCATTCACTGCCATGGTTCATGACCAAAGGTGAGGGTAGGGAGGTAGACTTACCGGTAAACAGAGAGCTTCGCCTGACATCTCAGCTTCCTCTTCACCACAATGGACCGGCACAGAGTCTGCAATACTGCAGATGCCGCACCAATCTGTCAATCTCACGCTCCATTCTTCCCTCACTCATGAACAAAACCTCAAGATACTTGAACTCCTCCACTTGAGGCAGAACCTCACCCTTAACCTGAAGAGAGCAGTCCACCCTTTTCCAATTGAGGACCATGGCCTCAGATTTGGAGGTGCTGATTCTCATCCCAGCCACTTCACACTCTGCTGCGAACCACTCCAATGAGAGCTGGAGATCACGGCACAATGACGCCAACAGGACCACATCATCTGCAAATAGCAGTGAAGGAATCCCGAGGCTACTGAACTGGACTCCCTCTGCCAGCTGGCTGCACCGAGAAATCTGTCCATTAAAGTTATGAACTGAATCGGTGAAAACGGGCAACTCTGGCAGAGTCCAACTCCCACCCTGGAGAGGTCTGACTTACTACCGGCAATGCAAACCAAACTCTCGCACCGCTTGCATAGGGACTGAACAGCCTGTAAGAACGGGCCCCCAGTCCCATACTCACGGAGCACCCCCCACAGTGTACCCTGAGGAACACGGTCAAAATCCTTCTCCAAGTCCATAAAACACATGTATACTGGCTGGGCGAACTCCTATGACCCCTTGAGGACTCTAGTGAGGGTAAAGAGCTGATCCAGTGTTCCACGGCCAGAATGGAACCTGCATTGTTCTTCCTGGATCTGAGGTTCAACCATGTGTTGAATAAAATACATTTAACACATATTAAAGTCTGGAAGACTCAAATTTACATTTGTGTTTTAAAAAATATGTTGTCTCATAAATTAGTATTTTGCCAAATATTTCTATAGACACCACTAATATATATTATCATTAAAATAAAATAAAAATGGCACGGCTAACAAGTTATATCAAGTTCGATACATTTAAAGTAAGGGAACAAATAAATATATAAAGCTCTGTACTAAAAGCAACTATGTACTAAGGTCGAAGTGGGATGTTTTGTTTTCTTTGTAAAATAAATTCTTTTTCACAGTTTATGTAAGTCAACTTCTTGATCACTTCCTCTCCTTGAGATGTGCTTTTACATACTTCCATCACAGCTCAGACTTGACCTTGAACTGAAGTTTTGTTTCTTCCTGACTTGCACTCAGTAATCCAGCCAACGTAAGTCACTTTAAAGAATGGGAATCAGCTCTTTTATACTCTTACATCACTATCAGACCTCATTTTTTACCCTTAATTCACCCCTCACACACCTACACAAGATCTAAAAAGATTTAGAACGAGCACTTTTTAATGTTAAAACTAAATTATTCTTCTCCTTCAAGTCTTTCCAGGGTATTTCTTAAGCATATGTTGCACTTCCTGTTTTTCTGTTTGTGGTTTCAGAAGAAGCAGGCCTCCAGCGTGGACCGGATCACTCTGTACGGGCTCATGGTGAAGCCCATTCAACGGTTTCCGCAGTTCATTTTGCTGTTGCAGGTAAAAATAATTGTGTGAATGTTTATTAAGCATTCACACTATTTATCGCCTTCCATTTTTCTTCTGTACATTTTCCAGCATCTTTCTCGGTCCACAATTTTTTTGTGCCATTTCAACAAAACATAAATCAAAACGTTCAGCTCATTCAGGAGAAGGATGCTATGACTTTTGGTATTGGCGCAACTTTAGCTTTTGGAAATATTTAGCCTTTTCTGCCACTTTTTTTTCTCATAGAAAATTAATTGAGCTCATTTTACATCCTTCAAATCTTTAGCTCTGTTTACAACCTTTTCCTGCTCCTTTCACATTTTGTTCTGGTTCAACTTCTTTCAGCTTCCTTGTACAAATTTAAACGTTTTTTCCAGCTACTTTCTGCTAATTTCAGCTGTTCTTTCAGCTTTGTTGGGATCCTTTTCAATTTTTTCTACTTACTAAAACATTGTTGTGCCTCTTCTAGCTTCTTTCTACTAATTTCAGCTTATTATGCTCCTTTCAGCTTATTTGTGCAAGTTGCAGCTATTTATGCTATTTTGACTACTATTTAGCTGTTTTATGCAAATTTGAGCTTTTTAGGCTAATTCCACATTTTTGCACTCCATCTTTTTTCAGCCTAATTTAGCAAAATGTACTTTCTCTACTTGCTTCTGGGAATGTAAGCGTTCTTCTGCTTTTTTAGCTACTATTCAGCTGTTTTTTTTTCACATTTCAACTTTTTTCAGATAATTTAAAAATTTTTGTGCTCATTTCGGCTTCTTTAATCCTAATTAGGCACAATTTTGCTCTCTCCACTTCCTTCAGGTAATTTAAGTTTCTTTCTGCCTTTTTTTTAGCTACTATTTAGCTGTTTTTGATCATTTCAGCTTTTTCCAGATAATTTCCACTTTTTTATGCTCATTTCTGTTTCTTTTAGCCTAATTGGGCACTATTATTCTCGCTCCACTTTTTTTTCTGGTAATTTAAGCTTCTTTTTGTCTTTTCAGCTACTTTTCAGCGATGTTTTGCTAATTTCATTTTTTTTTTTTTTTAGCTAATTTATACATTTTTGTTTATTTAAACCAAATTCAGCAAATATGTGTTATTTTTTCTGGTAACGACTGCTTGTTCTTTCATTTCAGCTACATTTCAGCATGTTTTTAGCTAATTTCAGCTGTTTTTCAGCAAGTTCTACAGCAATAAGCATTCACACTGCATTTTCACGCTCTAGTTTAATCTGATTTTTTTTTCAAGCAATTATTTTCAAAGGCCTTTCTTACTTTTCACATGTGAACAACCAGAATCAAAAAAATATCAGCTAACACATAAAAACTGCAAAGTCACAGACTTGATTTGGGTGTTAATCTTCTTCCGTTACAATGTAGAGCTTTAAAGGTAACTGTTATCAAAAGTTATTTTTGTGCATTTTTATCCTGACTTCTGTTTTCTTTTTTTTTTTTTGGGGGGTGAGAAAGGTTTGGATTTGAGCTTGACTTGCTGTGTCTGCAGTAGCTCATTTCATCCCTCAGTAGGCATCGATTATCCATGAATTCAAAAGATAAGTTATGAATACGAATCAGGCATTTTCTTCCAGCCCAAACTCGATACTCCAAGGAGGAAGTGCATCTATTTAATCAGACGTTACAGGAGGAGTAAAATCTGAAGGCAACAAGCTACATTTGAGAAGCTTATCAAGACGAGAACAAGTATTTCACAGGGTCATAGTTGCAGGACAAATATAGACACGCAAGGAAAACATGCGGTTTTGAAAACTGAACTCGCCTTTTATCCGTTTCAAAGCTGCGCACTTTACAAAACAAGTGACGCACAAACTATTAAGCTGCATCCGAACCAAATCTGGACATTTTAAAATGAAGACAACATTTTCAACGTATTTTGATGGAATTCATAAAGCTGGCCAATATGGAGCAAATGATGAAATCATAAAGAAAGAGTCTTTTTTTATTAATAAGTAACAACCGGAGGACTCGGTTCTTCCAGTGCATATCAGGCTTTTAACGCTGTTAACTCACCCAAAAGGAATTTTAAAATACACGCATTTCTGAGTTATGCGGCAGCATATTTATGGTCTTTAATGCAGAAGCTTTATTTTTCTATTTTAATTTGATGGCTTGTTTTTATATGTAGTATTTTACTGCTTTACTTTTTGTGTGCATATATATATATATATATATTAGTTCTTTTCCACACTGTTTGTCGCTTCTACCAATCGTTCTGCGCTTCAGTTTTTTCCTTGACGTCAGGCTTCATCTTTAATCAAACTTATTCCACCTGCAGATAATTTGTTTCACATGATAAATAACGACGTGTCTGATCGGTTATTTTTGGGATTGCTTGTTTTTTTTTTTCCGCCCAATTTTACGAAGGACTCCACACAAGATGGAAAACAACAACAACAACAACAACAACAAATAGTAGCAACTATTTGACTGCTAAGCAGACGGCAGCCGTTCCTTGTTTTATATCCATGGATCCTTTCTGATCGAGCTGCGGTGATCTGAAAACATCTTCATGTGAAGGAGAGCCAGGCCTTGATAAAACGCTGATGTGGCACAAATAATTTAAACTCATCATTTTATGTTTATAGACCAAGTCATAGCCATTTTGGCCAAACTCTTAAACAATAAGCACACGCTCATGAAACATTTTGGCATCTTGCGCAGCCACTCAGTGCTGGAGTACGTATTGTGAATAACTGTCAGCTACTTCCACAACAAATTTTAACCCAAGGTCCGTCAAATTTGAGGTATAACCAGTTTTGGTGTAGGCTAGAGTTGATTAGCTGTGGTAGCCGTCTTTGAATTTGATTGACTCCAAAATTTAATCAGCTGTAGAAGTACAGCCAGTAATTACTTTCTGAGGATTTTATTGAAATCCGTCTAGCGGTGTATGATATATTGTGCTAACAGACAAACAGAACTGACGTCAAGAGTTATTGCCAAGGCTTTAGACAAGGACGTTACTGAATGTGTTGCTTTCCTGTTTTATGTTGGAGACAATGCTCAGCTCACTACGGCATCAATTTTTTTGTTTAATATCTGTAAAACTAGCAGTTATAGACATTCTTGTGTTGTTTAATAAACTGTGGCTATAGCAGCCTTCTTAATCTGAGTTGAGCTCAAAAACTAAAAGTTGTAGCTCTCAACCCAGTGATGACTTTCTGAAAGTTTCATTAAAAGTCATTGAGCAGTTCAGGAGATATTTTGCTAACAGACAGAGTTGATTCCAATAAGTAATGGCAGAGTTTTGAACACAGATCTCGTACAGTCAGTTAGTGCTCAGCATATAAGTTAGGTACTACTCTCAGCTACTAACACATTAAAACATAGCTCTGTTTGTGTAACGGACTGAGTTTTAGACCATTTGTGTGAATGTTTATGAAGCGTTCACTCTTTTGTGATCCGTTTTTCTTCTGTACGATTTTCGGCGTCTTTCTCCCGTTCCACAGCTTTTGTGCTGTTTCAACAAATCATAAATCAAAACGTTCAGCTCATTCAGGACAATCCTGCTATCACTTTTAGTATTGATGCAACTTTAGCTTGTTGAAATATTTAGCCTTTTCTGCCATTTTGTTCTCATAGAAAATTAATTAAACTCATTTTCCATCCTTCAGATCTTTAGATCTGTTTACAACCTTTTACTGCTCCTTTCACATTTTGTTCTGTTCATCTTCTTTCAGCTTCCTTCTGCAGATTTTAACTTTTTTCCAGCTATTTTCAGCTAATTTCAGCTGTTTTGTGCTCTCTCCAGGATCTTTCTGCTAACTACAACATTGCTGTGCTTCTAACTTATTTCTGCTTCTTTCAGCGTATTTATGCAAGTTTCAGCTTTTTCTGCTATTTCAGCTACTATTTAGCTGTTTTTATACAAAGTTTAGCCTTTTCGCCTAATTTTACACTGTTTGCACTTATTTAATCTTTTTTCAGCCAAATCCAGTAAACATGTGCACTCCACTTCCTTCTTGTAATTAATCTTTCTTGCTGCCTTTTTAGCTACTTTTCAGCTGTTTTTTTTTAATGTTGTTGCTAATTTCAGCTTTTTTCGGATAATTTCCACATTTTGTGCTCATTTCTGCTTCTTTCAGCCTAATTGTGCAAACGTGTTCTTTCTGCTTTCTTCTGCTAATTTAAGCTTGTTCCTACCTTTTCAGCTAGCGTGTTATGATTTTTAAGCTAATTTCAGCTGTTTTCAGATAAATTAAACTTTTTTGTGGTACTTTCTGCTACTTTCTGACTAAACTTATTTCTACTAATTTCAGCTTGTTATGCTCCTTTCATATATTTCCTGCTAGTTTCAGCTTTTTCTGCTATTACAGCTACTATTTAGCTGCTTTATGCCAATTTCAGATTTCAGATTATTTCCACTTATTTGTGTTAATTTCTGCTTCTTTAAGAATAATTGGGCAAACATGTCTTCTTTCTGTTTTCTTCTGCTAATTTAGGCTTGTTCTTCGATTTCAGCTACATTTCAGCTACATTTCAGCATTTTTTTTAGCTAATTGCAGCTGTTTCTCTGCAATTCTTCAATAAACATTCTCACTGCATTTTCGCAGGAAATGCAATTTCTCTAGTTATATTTGCTTAGATTGCTTTGTTGTGGCAGCCTTCTTGAACTGGGTCGACTCCAAACATTAATCAGTTGCGAGACATTTTGCTAACGGTATCATCAAATGAGCACACACAGACATGGGCACAAACCATATCACTCCATCTTAGGTGGCAGATGATAATCCTGTTTTTTTAGCAGCTCAAGGAAAATCAATCAAAGTAAGAAACCCTGTGAACCTGTTGAGCTGGACTCGTCAGAACTGGGAACCACTAACCAGGCCAGCTAACGAGCCGAACAGGAAAGAGTGTTTGACCAGTTGTGAAACCGAGCTGCCACTTTCCTTGTGACTTTTTTTCAGGACATGTTAAAGAACACGCCGAAGGGCCACGTGGATCGCCTTCCCCTCCAGCTTGCCCTGACCGAGCTGGAGATGCTCGCCGAGAAGCTGAATGAACAGAAACGAGTCGCCGACCAGATTGCGGAGACGCAACAACTTGCCCGCAGCGTTAGTGATCGCCTGCTCAGTAAGGTGAACGTCTGCACGTGCTTACTCACCAGCCACACACACACACTCGGCCCAATCAAATCAGCTGCATGCCTGGCAACTCTCAGCTGTTATCGCTGTGAGCCAAACACCGAGGCATTAAACCGGCGCATAGCAATCACCTATATCACTTTCCTCGACATTAATTTAGGAAGGCATTTTTACTCGGAGAAATTATCTCATCGAAATGATTCCCATTATCATCCCTAAACAGTAGCACTTGCAAAGGCAGAGGCATTGCTTCTTCATTACCACGCTGAAATTACAGTCCTGCCGCTGCAAATCTGAACAAACGCTGCTCTGAATAAGAAGAATTAGGGGGTAAATGAGACATTTAATTGGAAACTGTAAAAGAGCTATCTCTTCTCGCCCTGTCGGTCTCACTCGTCTTTGCTCTTCACTTTACCCCCCATTTCCCTTTTGCACTCACTTGTTTACTCACTTATACAGTCCTCTCCTCTTCCTCTAGTGCGACTACATCGTCCTTTAACCTTTTCCACTTTTTCAAACGCTCCCCGTCGTTCTTCTTTTTCTACACGTTCCTCCGTCAGACATTACTTTCCGGGTCTCTGAGATGAACCGATTTGCCCGATCTCCTCCGCTCACGCAGAATTCTATTTGCGGAGGTGACACAGCAGAATTCCAATAAGAGCATCTTCTCAGTCGCTCCCATAACCACCCAATGAAAAATTAATTGTTTGTCTCATAATATTCAAGTCACCAGCGCACAGGACTTGTAGTAATACGAGGGAGAAGGGGTTATGCAGACGCCCAGTTCTAAATGCTCTAAAAAAGGCTTTAAGGGTGTATTTCCATAGCAGCCTACCTCCTGAAGGAGCAGCATGGCCATCAAACAACAAACCTAAGTTGAACTAATGAGTTCTTTTGTGGCCCTTTGGAGCTGAAATAAGTTGTATTTTTCAGACAGGGCATCCGCTTTTGTGAAACATCAAAGTATCAGGATGCGACTTCCGCTGCTTGCAGCCCAGTGGGTTTTAAATTGTGGTGAATTTGCTTTTGGTTTGTTGCAGTGTACATAGAATAGAAGGCAAAAGAAGCTGAAGTAAAATGATAAGGAAATAAACAAACAAACGAAAATAAAGCTTGCTGTTGCTTTTTTTTTTTTTTTTTTGCCAAACATATGGAGAATTGGGAAATGCAGCATGTGCTGACATACTGTTGCATAAATTGCATCTGTTATTGGATTTTCTTTACTGGTGTATGCGTGCATGCATCAGTTTGTGCAGTCGTCCTGTTGTTGCAGGAAGGATCGTGTGTCCCGGCGCTCACACGATAAGCTAGTCTGGATTCTGCGCTAGCACCAAGGTGGATGGGATAGTATAGACAGAAAAGTGGGAAAATGATCAAAAGCATGTTTTGCAAGTATCTGTTTAGAAAATACAAACATTTCTGGCACCATCTGGAGCCTAAATGAAAGAAGGTTTTTCTTTGGTTCCTCTCTAATCACTGCAGAAGTGTGACAGAAAAGCCTCTGAAAGGGCATACGCAGCCTCCTTTTAACAGTGTTCACTGAGTGAGCAGCGCTTGTGATGTGACAGTGTGTATACATGCACGCACATTAAACGACCTTCAGCAGAGTGAATGTGTTGCTAATCCCTGATGAGATATCTGTTCCTCCAAGCGTGACTTCTCCGTCCTCCAGGCACTAAACTCCGGAGGACTTGGGCTTTGTGATACTGTCTCCTCAGCCTCCGATCTGATTTCTGTGTCCCCTTTAGCAACTGAACTCCGAGCAGAGGTCACTGGTCCTTTGCGAGACGCTTATTGAGACCGTGTTTGGCGAGCGGGGACAAGTCCTGAAGTCGAAGGAGAGGAAGGTCTTCCTCTTTGATGATGTGCTCATCTGTGCCAACATAAATGTCAAGTAAGTCCCTCAAGTTGATCAGCTCATGCATTCAGGAATACTTGGCTAATGCAGTTGTAACGTTTAAAGTAAAATTTACCGTAATTTCCAGACTATAAGCCGCTACTTTTTTCACACGTTTGAACACCGCGACTTATACAATGCTGCAAATAACTAATGGATTTTTATTTTTGACGGGCTAACAAGCTTCATGCAGCCGAAACATTTAGCCTCGTCACACTCAGGCGCTCACGTAGCTGCCCAATACACATCGCTCTTGGGGGCTGGGTCCTCGTGACTCAATGAGACTACTTGTATAAATACAGGTTAAAAAAATCTGACCAATGAAATTGTCGAACAGGTCACAGTGGACCAGTGAAACAGGATTTCCCATTCTCTCCTCCCCTCCACGTTGTGCCCCCAGGGAGTGGGGCGCAGTGCGCAGGAGGAAGATGAAGCTATCGATCAATGACTTCTTGGTAGGCTACTGTATTTTTTTAACCAGCTGTGTTACCGGCACTGTTTAGGAAAAAAAACATGTACTGTACGTATTTGTGTATGTTGGGCAGCACGATGGCGCAGTTGGTAGAGCTGCTGCCTCTCAGCGAGCAGGTACCACCGGTTCAAATCCCGGCCGGGTGCCTTTCTGGAGGAACTGGGTAAAGATAATGGATTGATTTTTGTATGTTACCGGTACGTATTGTAGCAATCTGCTGTGGTTGACTATCGGTCACATGGCCTCAAGGAGGGATTATGGGTAGAATTTATGTTTATTGTTGATTATTTTGGTTTAGCACTGTCCTTTTAGTGATTAGTCTGTTCTTGTTAGCCTAGTTTATGTGCTCATTATGTGTTGGTTTGTATTAAGCCATTCAGTAGAGTAACCATGAGTGAGGGAGGTAGTTGTCATGAAGACTTGTGGGGTTCAATTTGTCAGTGTGTGTTGAACAGTAAAATAAAATCTATAAAACGCCATCTAGTGGTTGATTATTGATCTACAAGAAGAGCTTTATATCAGTAGCTTTAAGAGTTTAAAAACTCTTTCTGAGTAAATACATCATGTTACAATGTGGACACCCATGGCTTATAGACAAGTGCAGCCTATATATGTACAATTTTTATTTCTTTTTAAATTTAGTGGACGCGGCTTATACTGTATTCAGGTGCGCTCAATAGTCTGGAAATTACGGTAAATAAAATTAGAATCTCTTGCAAATTTCTCAAATCTATATTTTTTATAGTGGAACAGTGATGTGAAACGTTTAAAATAAGAATTTGCACAATTTTGGTGTTAAAAAAATATAAATAAATTGTTTATGTCATCAAAGAAGAACAGTTTGCACCAAATCAGGTTAAATCGTAACAGGTCAGATTTGTTCTTTTCTTTTTTTTCCTAAAAAGGTAAAAACAAAATCAGCATTTTATACATTTACTATGTTCTGATGTGGATTAAATATGGACTTAGGAGATTTGCAAATTAGTGCATTCTGTTTTTATTTACAAATGACATATTTTATAGCATGACGTTGTGTGTTTTTAAATCAGAGCCTGTTCGAGTACACAGTTAGAAGAAATCTGTTTCTGAAAGCACGGTGCTTTAACTTGATGCTCAAGGTTTTGCAGGAGTGTTTTAGAATACTGCATAGTAAGGAGAAACAACTGTGAGGCATTTTGAGCCGTATCAGAAGTTGCAGGAGCTTTATCAGCTTTAAACAAATGGTAGAATACCTCACAACTGCGTCCTAGATTACTGACATAAAACGTTTTTGGTTTCTTTCCAATGTATCTTATGTGTCAGCACCATTGATCAAATCTCTCTCTTTCTGTCTCTCTCAAAAGAAGTAAAATAAAAAAAAAAATGTTTGCAAAGCCCTCTCCAAGGATGTTACTGAAAGCCGTCTCGTCCAGCCCCTAAAGTAATTATCTCTGCAAGTCTCATTTCAAAACAAGGGTCCAGAGGTTGACTTTGTCTGCCCTTCAGGTTTTTGACAAAATGATCACAGTGTTGATTGTCAGCATGATTACAGGAATATATGAATAGTCAATGAACTCTTCCTGGCAGCTGGGGCAACAATTTCAGCAGGGAGCACAAATAATAATTATTTTTTTAATTCCAACATGCAAACATGCACCTATTTTAGGAGTAGCTTTTTATATTGGATACCTGCTGTACCACTGCAGGTAAAGTGCTGGTATATTTTTTTCTAAATTTCTTGCTTTGTTCTTCTATTTCTCTTTTTCTTTAGTTTTTGAATGAAAATTGAATTTTTGAGATTTTTCAGTCTAGTTTTAAACAATTACACAGCACCTAAACAGCCTTGGTATGGGTTTGTAACAACATTCTTTTAGCAAATGATTCTGGTCAGTTTGTGATCTTTGCACTCCTGGACCTTACCGCTGCTTTTGAAACTGTTGACCATAGTATCACAGTTAGAACGATGTGTTGAAATTACTGTTTTAGCATTCTAATGCCTCCATTCTTATCTGAGCGACCAGAGTGTTTGTGTTAATGTTGGTAATAATTTATCTGCTTCAGTGCCTCTTTCCTGTGGGGTCCTGCAAGGCTTTATTCTTGGACCCCTTCTGTTTTTATTGTATCTGCTCCTTTTGCAATCTATCATGAGAAAACGTCTTTTGTTTCATTTTTATGCTGTTGATTGTCATATTTATCTGCCCTTGAAACCAAATAGTTCATGCACAATTCACCCTCCATTAAAATGTCTTCAAACTTTTAAAGTTTCAACGATCAGAAATCTGAAGTCATTGTTTTTAGCCCTAGCTCTACTGCTGTATCTATTCCTGTTAACCTTGACTCCCTTTAGCCTTATCTTAATCAGTTGTTTACAAATCTCAGGATGGTTTTAGACTCTGACTTTAAGTTTAATAAATAGATTATTCATTCATTCATTCAACCTTCATTTATATAGGTTAGTTCCCATTGAGCCTCGAGGCTGAGATTAACTCCGTTCTATAAAAAAGCTTCTTCCAGTTAAGGCAGATACCTAAGCTTAAGTCCATGTTGACCATATCTGACCTTGAAAATATAGTCCATGCATTCGTTACAACCCAGCTAGACTAATGTAATGCACTTTAAGGCTCCCATAGACTCGTGCGGTCCTCAGTTTGCATGGAAACTGCGCGCACTGTCCATAGAGAGTTGAGACTTCATACTCGAGCATCCACCCTGAGCGGCTGCAGACCAACTCCGCAGGCAAGGGGCGTTTACCTTCAGGACAAATTGAGTTTGCTGATTGGTCATTTGCTGACACGCCTACTGGATTGATTGACAGGTTGCAAAAAAAAAAGCTGGCAGCAAGCGGCAGCGATGTTCTGTGTTTATATGTTGTTTATAAAAAAGTTCTTTAAAAAAAAAAAAACAGGGAGCGCTGACCCTGCAGCCCACATATCAGACCGGCCCACCAGGAAATCTCCAGACCCTCTGGGCCTGATTTTAATTCACTCATGACAAATTCCTTAATTTCTCACAATTTCAGTCATGGCGTCGATGGATGAGGAGGAAAAGATCGCTTGCTTCTTGGGAAAAAAAGAAAAGAAAAGGCCATTAAATCAGATCAGGGATGAAGAAGGGGAATTTAATACATTGGTGTCACATACAAAACAATCCGTCGCCGGGCAGTGTATTGTGCAACACCGAGTACGTGTACGCGGTCGTAAAAATTTATCTTTGCACGGACATGCCCTGTGGGCATTCGCTTTGAGTCTGATCCGGTACGCGCGGACATCCATGGACTGAGGTCCGCCCGAGCCTGTTCAAGCCTTTATGTTGGGGTCAGTCAGGTGTCCCTTTCACGTCTCCAGCTCGTCCTAAATGCTACAGCTCGGCTCTGTATACCGGCTTTGTATACCTGGATTATTGAACATGGACTTTGTTGTTTTCAACCAATTTGACAAGATTGTCAACAAGGAAGAGGGCCGGCAATGGAGGAGGGGGCGTACCAAAGAGACCATCTTATCACAAGCAGAACTGGTTTGTTCCACTTTGGAGTAAGCTGTTGGGGGAAGAATCAGTTTTGTTGTGTGTTTCCTTGACTGATGAAGCCTTCCGGACCGAAGGCGAAACGTTTCGGCACAAAAAAAAGAAACTGTCCAGATGACCTGACTGAAAAATGTTGGATTTGATTTAGTATTTCATTTTTTCTCAATTTTTTGTGTTTTTATTTTTGATGCTTTGACCTTCATCTTGTTTTTTTTTCCCCTTTAATTACTGCCTTGATCTTATTGTTAAGCACTTTGGTAACAGCTGCTGTTTTAAATGTGCTTTATAAATACATTTGATGACTTGACTTCTTTCTTGTTTCTCCTGTAGGGGGCCTCCAGATATCAGCAGCCTTGTCCCTGTTGGCCCAAAGTACACCATGAAGTGGAGCGCCCCCCTTCAGAACGTGCAGGTAGTGGAAGTTGGGCAGGAGAGCTCTCAAAGCAAAGACTTGTTTCAACAAAGTGGGGCTAAGAGGCCAAGTGGTGCCTCCAATTCAGGTAAAACAAATATCTATCTCTGTGCTTCCTCAATATTTTCTCCTGTCACCCTCTAGTTAATCTCATCCCTTTAAATGACTGTTGGTCTCAGCCTCTTTCTCTGACTCAGCAAGGCTAATCTGTTCCCATTCTCAAGTATCTCATGGAAGGGAGGAGATGCAGCCGTGCTGCTTGTCACTCTGATTGAGGATGTGTTTGTGAGGAGGATAGCGATGATGGTCACTTGTTCCCATCTGCCTGGGGGTGTTTTATCTTGGAGAGTGATGTTGGTGTAGTGAGCCCTGAGCTGCATCATCCTCATGGTCTCATTTCACTCTCTGATAGACCACAAACATGTCTAGAGAGGAGTCATCAATCTGTAGAGATTATTCCCTGCCTTTCTAGGCCCAATTAGAGAGCCAGTGGCTGTAGATAGGAATCTGTGGTTGAAACGCTAGTTCTCCTACCACCTCTCACAAAACTCTGGTGTACACAGAGCTTGACGAGATCCCTGATAAATGCGCCATGGGAAAAAAAGAAGATACAAAGCCTTATCAGGATGTAATGCAGCACACTTTGTAAAGTTGCTGCTCCATGACTTAAATATTAATCGTGCCTCCTTCAGTGCTCCCCGTGTCATGCTCAGAAGGCAGCTGCTGTTTTGAGAGCTGGTTTATATTCTCACAGGATTTAGTTCTTTTCTTTTGTTCGGGTAGTTTATACTCATATTCTCACAACTTTGCGGCAAGGCTTAGGGATCGTTTAAGATTAGCTCTCGGTGCACCTTTCTGCACACCTTTGTAAAACTCTGAAAATGTTATGCCCCACATAGGTGCTGAGTTCTGATTCTGACATTCCCCATTTTTGCTGTTCCACTTTCGGCCCTCGTGGTAGGGTGTCTGTCCTGAAACCCTGTACACATCTGTGAGGCCGGCTCCTAAATCTTCAATCAGACTGGCAGTACCATTTATTTATATGCCCTTGTGATGTCATTCAGTGGAGTGTCTTGTTGAAACCTCTTCCTCCCTCAGCATGGTTTAAAATTGAATCATTTTTCACCTTCTGCAGGCCCTTGTACCTGTCTTTATCAAAAAAAGCTTGCCTTTAGGCAAGCCTGTCTTTTCCACTCATCCCTTTCCATCTGTCTGTGTCTGTATTGTTCGGTCTGTCTTCACAGAAGGCTAAACAATGGTATGTCTCTCCCCGAAAGCCAGTTGTGCCAGGTGTTTATTCTTTTATACTGTCTTACCTGCTTTCACCTTCATTATACCCCTTTCATTCCTGTTTCCCTCATGACCCACGGTCAGAAATACTGCCTTTTGCTAGTGGTGCAGCAATGGGCTTTGGCTGTGGATCAGACAAGGGTTTTGATACAAGTGTTAAAGCTGCATTGTCTTTAAAGCCACTATAGCATCACTGGCACAGCAGCCGAGTACAGAAATGGACTCTTCTGGGCTGAGGCCTTCCACATCAATGAATTATGTGCCTGGTGGCCAGTGTGGATAGTCATGTCTTAGTGTGTAAACCATATCCTGCCTCACCAATGGGATTATACTGGATTACAACTCAGCACATTCACCTCTTGGGCTGTAGCCAGCAGCAGGCCCAGGAAGACTCTGCAAACCTGCACAGGGGTCCAGGCAATCCTTTTGAAGAAGACAGTCATACGTTGTTCTTTCTGCCCATAGAAGTTCTCTTTATATTCAGATATCTCTCCTATTGATTTCCTTGCACAGATGACAGATGCCACTGTGTGCCAGTGTCTAAGATCCCATTAAACCCCAAAAGCTACAATGGAGCTCTTTAGATGAATAATACCAGCCCTTTTCCATTTTCTCTTCCTCTCATTTCGTTTATGATGTTGCTTTCACCTCATATATGCATGTGAATAGCCAAACAGCTGCAGGTCCCTTCGGATGAGCGTGCCTCACTAAGCTCGCCGACCTGCTCGGCTCTTCTGCTACTTTATTATGTGGCAGTGATGACAGCGCAGGACAGCCTCGGAGTGAAATCTACCTGCAGAATTTAATTAGGCAATCCTTGTAGAGCTTGGTGCTGGAGAAATGTAGGCCAGGGGAGTTGGGACGGAGGACGACAGACGGGAGGAGACACTCTTATTGATTCTTTGCACTAGGAGAGAAAGACTTTGAAGGCACTGGGCCTCAAATCGATGCTGAATTTTGCGTCTAATGAGACACCTGCATCCCTTTTGGCCAGCAAAGGGCATCATGGCTCCAAATAACAGTTTTTCCGTCTAATATTTTTACTCATAAATTCACTCGCTGTAGTTCAACAAATAATGCCGATCGATCCATCTACACATCGAACTTCTTTCATTAGTGCCTACTGGAGTTTTGACCAAAGACACTTTTCTTTCTTCTTCCAGTAGCTCTTTTCATCACTACCTTAGTTTTCTTTGAGCTTGTGTGAAACTTTGACCTTGAGCTTTCCTGTATTGTACATCCACATCAGGGCAGTTGGTCTTCAAACCGTGTCTTTTTAATGTAAGTTAAGCTGTTGGAGATAAAACATATGCATTCATGAAGCTGATAAATATGTTTATTAAGCCATCTGTCATGAAGAATGTCAAACATTTAGCAAAATCATTTTATAAACAAAATTAAAGCTCATTGATCCAACAATGTTCAATGTTTTTTTTTTTCTGAGACATTTCGTCCTTCATCCAAAGGACTTCATCAGTTCGAGGAGCCACAGATAATGTCAGTCCCACAAGCAGCACACTCCCATAGTGGGAAAAAAAAAACAGTTTGCTGGTGATAAGATGGTTTCTGGGGCCCGCCCTCTCCCCCGTCAATTGCTCTGAGGCTGCCATAGCCAAAGTGATTCACATTGTTCCATCAATGTCCAACATCCAACGATGTTCACGAGTGAACTTTGTTGGATTTTTTTAACCTAGATTATTGAGCATGAACTTTGAACCACTTTGGTCATGACAAGCTCAGAGAAGTTGACGGGGGAGAGGGCGGGCCCCAGAAACCATCTTATCACCAGCAAACTGTTTTGTTTTTTTTCCCACTTTGGAAGTGCGCTGCTTGTGGGACTGACTTTGTGGTTCCTCGGACTGATGAAGTTGTTTGGATGAAATACGAAACGTCTCAGCAAAAAAAAAAAAGAAACCGTCCAGATGACTTGACTGAACCTTGCTGGATTCTTTTTTTTTTTTTTACCTGGATTACTGAGCATGAACTTTGATGTAGAGTTTGTGGAATCATTTAAACAACTGGACTTCATTTTTAACAGAAGACGTTTAGCTTCTCATCCGAGGACCTTCCTCAGTTCAAAGAACAGAGAGTGTGGGGTTCAGGTTATAAAGCTGAACTAAGCTAGGTGCATATGCATATTACCCTATCACTCTTCACAATCGGGGTTCATTAGGGTCTTTGTTAGTCTGACTCATCGATGGGCCACTCTGGTAACATGGATGAAATCCCTGATAGTTTTTAAAATGACTGGGTGTCAGTCCTAAAACTGCATTATAAGTTTTTGAAAGCTGAAATCTGAGACCTCCTCCTCTGTTTAAAGATGGTTTATCTTGTTTTACATCAATGACTTCCTTCACCTCCCTCTCAAACCATCTGTCTTCTCTGTCCAAAATGTGCACATTTTGGTCCTCAAATGAATGCCCCTTATCCTTGAGGTGCAAGTGAACCGCTGAGTCTTGTCCTGAAGAGCTGGCTCTCCTGTGTTGAGCCATGCGTCTGTGAAGAAGCTGTTTGGTTTCTCCAATATAGAGATCTGGACATCCCTTGCTGCACTGGACTGCATACACCTGCATTCATACTTTCATTAAAAATAAAATAACTCTGATGATTGATGTACATTTGGTAAAAAACAGGACTAAAACCTTGTGAAATGTAAGTAATTCATAGCTGGAGATGAGGCTCAGTTTAAGGAACTCTCTGTGATCAAGGAGCAGAGAGAAAAGTGTGCAAACTAAGTGGCATCAATAAAAGAAATGACCCTTGTCAAGTCAGACGAGTTTAGGAAAGAAAGAACTGGAATGTATGTGCGTTGCAATGTAGACGGCAGGAGAAACTGCCTGGTGGAGCAATTTAACTAGCGTACTTTATGTGGCATTTACCAATAGATTGTGCAAAAGGGAAAGAGCTGATTGATTAGCTGATATGGCCTGGAGTCAGGATCATTTGAAATGTGTGGGCTGAGCTTAATTATGTGACCTTTATGTTTAATTTGGGACTTAAACTACACCTTTCAATGTATAATTTGAATTTTAAGTGGGTTTTTTTTAATTAGAAAATTGCCATCCTTTAGTTTTATATAAGAAAGACAAGAGAAATTGTTAAAAAGGATCTTTTGTGAGATTGAAAAAAATCCTTAATGCTACATATCCACAAATTTCTAGAACATTAAAATGACATTAATTCATACCTCTGAGTCATTAATGCTCAAAATGAGTACATACATTTACATAATGCACAAATGAATTGGATTTCATAATTTTGTTTTGATCTCAGTATCATTTATAATGATTTTTTGTAATAGGTTCTGGAAATGCACAATATCATCATTGCAAGGTGCCACAAGTAGCTGTTTAAAGTTCAATATTGTTCTTTGATGTTTGTTTCATTTTCATGTCTTGGCTTCTCTAAATATAAATCTGTGGACACAACTTTATGATTCTTGACTTCGTTTTAGGGTGGCACATTAAAATTAATTTCTCCTTTTGCTAAAGAAAGATGGAAAATGGATAATAATTTAATTGCCTCAGTTAAATTGTATGTTTTGGTTATCACAAAAACATCACATCTTTAAAAGTTTCCAAGTCTTTATCTGTAACTGTGGCAACTAGTTCAGGTTACTAACTAGTTACCTGAACTAGAGCCACAGGTTTGAAGTCTGTTGTTCTGATTTAAAATTCCCTTTTTGGATTCAGGTCTGGACTTCGGCTCACCCTTGAAAATCTTAAACAAATTCTCTACCAATATTCATTTTATTTTATTTTTTATTTTTTATTATGATTTGGTTGTATGCAATTTATTACAATGTCATTGATCTGAAGTGAACTAAATTAAAATAAATTGGATGTTTATTTTTATTTGTTATTTTTTATGGCTGATGCTGATTCTGATACTCGGAACACAAGTAGCTAAAGGCTGATAAGCACCATTTACTTTTTTTGTTTGTTTGGTTTTTGACTACCATTTTTTTTTTTCAATTAACCAAAATATAGCAACAATTTCTAAACCTAAAAAAAGTATATTCAACAACCTTTAAATTAATTTATATACGTAAAACGATACACATAAGAGCATTCTTGCTTAAAATAAAACTAAATTGTAAATACAGTAAGCTGGTTGTAGCAGCTGCTACAGCTTGATTGTCCTACTCAGTGATTGATTACATTTGCACAGATATGATAGACTGACAATGTTTTTTAAATTGGCCAATATTTATTATTGACTATTGCAATCAATCAATTTATATCAGACAAATATTCATTTCTAAATTTAACTCAATTAAATATGAATGCAATACCAAGTTAAGACCACTGTTCACTAATAAATAGGGATGGTTAATGTTGCCCTTGCTATTATTAAATA